TCAGGCGGAACTCATAGCCATACGCATGGCAATATCTTGGACCATTGATAACTATGATAATACTTGCATCCATATCTATACCAACTACCTCTCTGCTAGTAGCCTCATTGGGAGCAACTCACTTAATTATCTCGCCTGTGAAATTAGAGAACTTATCAACAATTCCAACAATACATACAGCATCTCCTGGACTCGTGCCCATCAGGGGACAGTAGGGAACGAGAGAGCCGACTTCTTAGCCAAGTCAGCAACTGCTAGTGACTCTGCTCCTATCATCTATAACAAAATCAGCAAACGAAGTCTACGCCATCTGCTGTGGACAGTGTGTCTTCAAGCCTGGCAAGAATGTTGGAACTGTAATAATAAGCACATTATGTATAAATTCATTCCCAACATACAGCAGTTCTTCTCCCTTAGGTGGTTTACTCCTAACTTTCAAACAACTCAGCTAATTACCAATCATGGAAAATTTGCATCATATTTCTTCAGATTTACCAACAATGACACTAACCTATGCCCAGTCTGCCAGGTTGAAGACAATAGCACACACTATATCTATGAGTGTATCACACTAGAAAAGGAAAGACTGGACTTACGAGGTAAAACTCCTTGTAGAAGACTCGGGCCTCACCTGGCCTTGTGACTATAGCGTGCTGCTCTCATCCAGAGAAATTTATCTGGCCTTCACTAGGCTAGCCAGGAAATTTGCTGACTTCTTGCTGGTGATTGTGAATAACTAACTGGCCATAATCCTACACGTGGATTGCACTATGCCATCAACTGCTCATAATCTTGTTATGTTTACTGTATTGATAACTCTTGTTGCTGTGCTGTCATTTTATTATCATCTGTTCACCTTTATTGTCGCACTAATATTTATCTATGTACTGTATTATTAGTATTTAGTTTGTTATGTTGGTTTGTTACTCCCACAATAGTATTTAGTTTGATAATTTGGTTTGTCATATGCCATCAACCATTCATAATGCTGTCATGTCTATTGTATTGTTAACTCTTGCTGCTGTGATGTCATGATATTACCATCTGTTCACACTTATTGTTGCGCTAATGTATTTCTATGCATTGTACTGTTTATATCTAGTTTGATATTTCACCGTCTTATCCGCCCAAATTCTGTCACGTTAATGGTTTGCTATCTATTGTCTTGATGTAATTGTCATCTCTATCATCTGATCAAACTTTTATTGCATTACTCCATACCCTCTACATTGTTAGTTCTATGTTTGTTATCTCACTCTTATTGACGTGGTGATGTGTTATTATGTTCTGATGTATGTTCACTCTTGATTATTGTTTATTCTGTATATATATCTGTATTTACTGTATGTCATTCACATTTACTGTATGCTTTCAGCCCTGGTAATGCCTTAGGTGGGGCCAGAAATGTACCTACTGTATGTTAATAAAAATTATTGTATTGTATTGTATTGTATGTTTTTAATGTAATAAAGCATTGTATATAATTTGAATACAAACAAATTATCAAAAATTCTGTTATTAATCATTTTCTTTATTAATTACAGCTCATAATCGATTAATGGGAGCCGTCCCTATATTTCTTTGCTCAATTTCTCAATATCAAGTGTGCAATTTGTCACTTTTAGCTTCACACAGGCTTCTGAATGTTCAAGTGTCAGACAACTTTGTGAATTCAAAATACTTTTTATATGTGAAAAAATTTGTTCACAGAGGTAAGTTGAACCAAATATTGAAAGTAGAGCACATGTGATCTTCAAACAATTAAATCTTTTAGGGGTAAAGATATCCAGCAATTGAAAATGATAGCTGACTTTCTGGGCAGTCACTTTCAAGTTTCTGGGCAGTCACTGAGTTTTCCACAATTCTGATGATGATAATTCTATAAGTTCCATTTAAAAATTATCAGTGCCCTCAAAATACTCAAAAAGAGATAAATCAAATGAGACCGTTTTTAAATCAATTAAGTCGGGTTAAATAAGGAAAGAAAATATGGGTGCATGAATTTCAGTCTCCACATTGTTTGGAAAATTCTTCTTTAAGACCTTCAACATACATTTGTAGTTCATCTTTGTTAACAGTAAATTTTCTTGCGTAGACATTAAAATTTGGAAAGTACTTGTAAGTGTTAGTGGTAATATCATGCCAAAATATATCTAATTTTGATGAAAACCTTTTCCAGTGTTCAAAAAGTTCTAGTACTTTTTGATCCTTACCTTGTAAATGCAAATTTAATTCATTGAGGTGTTGTGTTATATTATTCAAAAACATCGATTTGCATAAACAGTCTTCATCATTCAATTCTGGAAAATTTTGTTTTTTTTTTCATGAAGAAACAGCTTGATTTCTTCCAAACATGATATAAATCTGTTTAAGACATTACGTTGGCTAAGCCAATGAACATTGTTGTATAGTGGAAGGTCCACATATTCACTTTTCATTCCTTCTAAAAGAGACTTAAATTGTGTCAATGAAGAATGTGAAATAATGAAATTAACTATCTTAACAATTGTGTCCATTATATAATTCAAACACTGTGATGAGATTTTTGTAATTAAACTTTCCTGGTGTATAATACAATGAAAACTTAATATTCTATGTCCAATATGATTTTCAAGAAGTTTAACAAATCTTTTTCTTTTCCGAACATTGCACAAGCGACATCAGTAGTAACAGAAAATATTTTATTTATACAGTAGAGCATCGATTATCCAACCCCTGATTAACCGTCACATCGGTTAACCGACCATTCTAGTCGGCAAATTTCAAATGTCCGCTAGTGATGTGGCACTACAATATTTGGCTATGTCTTGGCTACTTTAATATTATTTTTGTTAAATTTTTGCGTGTTTTAGCTGGCATCAATGGCTTGACCATTGAAGGGAGACCAGTATTTAAACGAGACTTAATTTTATAATTATGAGTGGTTGTTTGTTTCGTGAGCAATAAAATAATTTAAAAATAATTTTTAACAATACAATAGGGATGATTATTATTTTTAAAAAATTTGTTAGGCTAAACATCGATGAAAATTCAACGCGAAGTTGGTTAATAGCGATATACTAATAAACTAATTACATGGGATATACTAATATCCTAATATACTATACTAATAATGTATTTTTTTTCCTTCTTTTCGGTTATCTGACCAACCTGAGTCCCCAATTGAGTCAGATAATCGATGCTCTACTGTATTAATTTTCTGATTTTCAAAGTAATTTAAAATGCTGTGGTAATGTCTTATCCTGTAGTTGTACCAGTAAGAGGAATCAAACAACATAATTCTTCATAAATTTGATCCTTTCCACAATATCGAGCAACTATTGCTAGGCATGCCATGTCATTCATTTCAGTGCTTTCATCAACAGTGACACTGAATACAGAGGCTTCTTGTAATCCAGTTTTCTGTTTAGTTGTTACATTATTGGCCATATCTGTTATTAATCTCTCAATTATCTCACAGAAACGGGTATATCTCGAATTTGAGACAGTATTATCTCTTCATTTAGTAAATCACTGAATAAAATATCAGCACTTTCCAAAAATGTTTGTTTGATGAATTCACCATCTGTGAAAGGTTTGCCTTTGGAAGCTATACATTGAGGAATTTTATAACTACATTCGGTAGCTTTATTTTTAGTTCCTGTAACTTGACTAAAAAAAGTAGTTTGTTTTTAAAATCTGAAACAGCTTGTTTAATTGTTTCAGTTTTCTCATCAGCATTCTTAAACGTAGAATGATGTTTGCTTTGATAATGTCTTTGTACACTAGAAGTACGACACATGACACTTTTGTAACATAAAGCACAACAGCATGACCCTTTTGTTGTAGAAATCCATATTCTTCAGTCCAAATGTCTTGAAAAGATTGAACATTAACTTTTTCTTTTATGAGCCATTCTAGGGTGGTATATTACTTATTAAAACAAGCATGCAGGAATAGGCAAACTGTCCGGATCCAGGCATGCACAATATGCCAACTGCCACATGTCTGGCCCCAGTAGACATAATGTAGATAAGAATGCAGAGTATGAACACGTGCGCATTATATGTGCAAAATGTAGGTGATGCAAATGCTTGCATTGTGATTTCTTGACGTTGTGACACAAACACTTGTGATAATTTTTAACATATTTTATTTATTTATTTGTTTTAATATTTTAATTCAATCAGTGTGCCACTGAAAATGGTCTTGCATGCCGTAGGTTGCCGACCCATTCTAGGGCATAAACAAAATTGCCATGTGTTTCACAGCTTTATGGACATTTACATATAGGTAGCAGAGTTGTCTAGCTACATTTTTATGATGCTTAAGTATGGAGAATAGACAGGTTCATCTTCAGCTGAAAAGTTGAAGAGTTTAAGAGTGGAAAGTGAAGTAAAAGAAAAATAACGTGATATTGTCAAAAAAATTGGAATATTGGTGAACCTAGAAACTTGCATGTTTTGTTTTGAAAAATGGACAATTCAAATTTATTGGATTTCTCATAGTGTGGTAAAAACAATTTGACTATATTACAAATATTAAAAATATTTGTTCCTCTCTGCAAAAAATTTCACTTTATAAAGTAGAAGATTGAGTAGCAAATGTAGATAGTGAATATGATTAGTCAATTATATTTGAATGTAATATGAATTTCAACTAGTTCTGATATTAAATGGTTATTTCAATTTCTTAACTCTATCAAGTGAAACAAAACAACAAAATCTTGATTTGACTTCAGAATAAACTTAACACTTAATTTGAAAAACTCAACAATTATCTGGTAATACAAATGGATATTACATATGTTGCATAAAATGATTTTATAAAGTTATTCACTTTATTTCTGAAATGTGTAACTTACTTTTAAATGAACAAAATTCATAATTCTTTTTGGTATTTGATATGTGACATTCTTAAATATTTGATTTTTTACTATATTTTTATTTCATGAAATAAGTCTTCATTTATACTTATTGTAGGTGATTGAGCTTGTAATTATTTTAATGAAAATTTTGCAGCCAAATTATACTAGTATTGCTCATCATTGTAATCTATGGAGAAACTTTGATGATATTGAAGATTCATGGAAAAGTTTATTAAAAATTATTAAATTTTTTGGAGATAATCAAGAAGTAATGGCCAAACATGCACGTCCTGGTTCATGGAATGATCCTGATATGGTAAGATTTTATTTGAGCTATTTATTCAATTTAAAAGACACTATGGATAAAAAGCTTATAATTTTGTACTGATACAGAGGTTATAATAATCTTTTGACTTGCTTTCATTTTTAATTTTTTCCTTTAATATGTGCTTGTGAATACACTTGCTTTACTCACTATATTGTCTACTAACCCTACAAACCTCATGGCTACTTTGTTTCCATGCTTCGATAACTTTTTGGCACTTTTCAGGGATTACTTTGATCCATTTCCCTCCAGCACTTTTCAAAGTTGGCAGAAGTTGCCTTTTGATGTTTGAGAGATTGTTTAACAATCCAAAGCCAAAGAAATCCAATGCATTGATATCAGTTGATTTAACAGGGTGTAATTGATTCCAGATTTCTTCAATTCCTCCAAATAGTGGCTAGTCAAGTGAATGGTGGGATATTATGGGAAAATTGACTTTTGTTATTTCCTCATGGTAAAATTTTGTCATTTCAATTTCTAAATACAGTTTTAAAACATAGTTAATATAGTAGTTTTCATTAACTTTACTGCTTTTGGGTACTTATATAGGGGAAAGGTTTCTTGTCTAGTCATTTTGCCTATGATCATAAAATTGTCAGACTAACTTCCATTGCAGTAAGTCAACCATTCTTCTTGAACCTGTTGCCCACATTTAATGTAGCAAATTTCTCAGTCATTTCAGTAACTTACTTACACATACTCCAGTGTAACAGCATATTCAGCCTTATATCCTACTAGATCATATTTGTATAATTTTCTAGCATTGGTATCCAGTTTATGCAGTGTTCTGAAGCCAGCTTATGTATTTTGACATTTTTCTTGTTTGAAGGTCTGAATCTTTATAAATGATGGTGTTAATTGGCTTGAGAAATCCCACAATACTTATCAACTTCATTTTGGCCAATAGGATTAGTCCCTCCACCAGTTTCTTCACCTTTGTGTTGCTTGGCTTGGTACAGACTATCAGGGACTTGGATTTGGAAGCACATATTTTCTTTGAGCTTGATGTTTCTTGCTTTGCATTTGATTACTTGAGTAACAGTGCTCTGAGGTATGTTGATTCCAGATTGCTCAGCTCTGTGCATCTATGCAGCAAGTTGAAAATCCTTGTTTGGAAAAATTTATTTTAGAAAAACATTGTATAGTAACTATCAATAATTGTGTTACATGGGAAATGTGAAATTTTCAAATTGTAGTCCAAGTATTTAAATCAAAAGATTCTGATAATTTTTTGTATTCTTTTTATGGATAGAAATAAGTAATGATAAAACTGGAATCAATAATTAGCCTAAATTTTCATTGGATTCTTTATTGCAAAATTAGTCATTTTATAATAAAGAATCCAATTAATTTAAATAGAGATTTCTGAGAATAGAACTGTTGAATTCTGTTTTTAACTCTTCAAAATTTTCAGAGTTTATTATATCTTTATACAGATTTATAGTCACAATAAAAATAAATTTATTTGTTAGATAAAACAAAAATAAGCAATTTGGCTAGAGGTGGGTGGTTAAGCTAGCATCTCATAATAAATTTAATAATTAAAAATAAATTATTTTTTAACCTTTAATTTAAAATTTTCTAATATAGAAAAAAATATGTTCAACCAAGTCAACCTATGTACTTTTCTAGCAGTGAAGTAAATGATTTATGAATGTTTTTTGAATTATGATTATTAAATTTAATATTTATTAATTAATTTAGAAGATTCTGCAAGAAAAGAATTGGCCTGGAGTGGAACTCAAATCTGCAACTGCCACTTACCATGTGGATGTGTTGCCAGTTATGTTACCCTGACCTCCAATCTGAATCTGTCTGATCTTTGCTTTGAGAACTATTAATTTTAGATATAACCATACTGGTTATTTGTGCCATTTTATAATAAATAATCCAATTAATTTAATATAATAATACAGTAGAACCTCGATTATCCGGACCTCCATTATCCGGATTTTCGATTATCCGGATTGTTCAAAATAAACAAAAATTTTACGAATTTGCTGATTTGCACTTGGCGAATTACGATACTGTTTATGTACGTGATGGAATGCATAACTTTTTTTGTTTCAACAACGTCTCACCCGGCACAGTGGCCATAAACTCTTAAATATATTTTGCGTCGTAATAAAAATATAACTTGACATATGTATTTATAAATAATTTTATTTTCAAATTACATCATTTCTATGACCAAGGGCGGCGTAAGGCATGGGCAACGGTGGGCCACCGCCTATGCCTCGCGGTCCAAAGGGCCTCGCATTTCGAAGGTTTATACATTACTTAAAACCTGTGAATGCGACAAAAAAATTTTACTCATCATAAAATGATAAATAGTTTGTCAAATTTTTATTCATAAAAATGCAGTTTCAACTGCTTTTTATTTTATAAAATCCGTCTTCTTGCGCCACCAGAGGGCCTTTTAAACAATAGGTAGTCTGTTAGCGTTGGTCAGTAGTAGTCCAAATTCAATACGAACGTTTGTTTCTTGAAAATTTGATCACGATTTAAATACAGTATTTACTTTTAATATTACCGATATGTCATCGAAAAGAAAACGTGTTGTATTATCATTAAAAGACAAATTAAAGTATTTGTTTCGATTATCCGGATTTTTCCTTATCCGGACTACCTTCATCCCCAATTAGTCCGGATAATCGAGGTTCTACTGTACTATTATAAATTTTTAAAAATTGGTTTCTGATATATCTGACCTGGAGATGAAATTAGCTTTATATAATAAAACCACAGTGATAATATAATCATACTGGTTATTCAAGTGTGCCATGAATAACCAGTATGATTATTTTATCACTGTGGTTTTATTATATAAAGCTAATTTCATCTCCAGGTCAGATATATCAGAAACCAATTTTAAAAAATTTATAATACTCTCTTAGTCTAGTAGTATACATGATTGAGAAATCTTAAAAGAAATGGCTTATGCAGTCAAGCTGGAGAATATAAGAACTTATTTACCCTTATAAAAGATATTAATGACCTTCAAAGTTTGTTTACTGTTTTAAAATAATTTTTGTTAATGTTCTGTTAATATTCATTTGCTTTCTGTAGCAAATGAATATTAAATTACTTCTTTTTTTGTCTGCATATATTTCAGGCAATATTCAGAACTTCCTGAAATTTTCAATAACAAACTGATCACTGAATTTAGTTTGTCTCAAAGCAGAGCTCAATTCCTCTTCAAAATGATTAATTTACATTCTGTGTCAAATCAACCACAATTCTTGGCTCTACAAAATTTAGAATTACCTTTAAATTATTCATTTTTAATATATCCTGTAACTAAAATCAACTGACAAGTATATAAAATTTTTAATCTTTTTCACTACATTATTTGCACATTTTATTTAAAAGTTTTTCATTATACTTCCAAAATAATATGTTAAAATATCAATACTTACATGAAAAAAACTGATAAAGATGTTTTTTAATTCTATATTTAAATCTACACAAATAGGAAAATGGTTATTATATACCTTATCCAATACCAAATATCATAGACTAAGGACAACCAGTTGATAAGAACAATTCTCAAATCAATGATAGAACAATTTTGAAGACAAACATAAGTATTATAATTTGCTTCCTATTTGGATAACTATGTTAATTTTTCATTGGCTATTAATTAATTAATATGCCTGAAACCTAAACTTATCATAACAATCACAGAGACTCTAAGGTAACTGTTTTATTATTTCATTTTTATTGACTCCAATATGCATTTGGACATATAAATTCAGTTGGGCACAATATTAATATTATACAATATTGTACCCAACTGAATTTATATGACCAAATGCATATTGGAGTCAATAAAAATGAAATAATAAAACAGTTACTTTAGAGCAGGGGTGGCCAAAACGTGGCGCATGCGCCAAACGTGGTGCATTGGACGATTGCAAGTGGCGCTTCAGTTAGTTCTGAGCAAAATTGCCAGATTTGGCTTTTTTGCGATTAAGAATATTATATAAAAAAATTAATTTTTTATAGTCTGTCNTTGGAAATGCTGCTGAAATGCCATGTATGGAGTAATTACAGAAATGTAAAGTATAGAATGACTACTTAAATAGTACTTTATTATCAATTATCAAATAGTATTATTATCAATTCATGATAGAATTTTCTTGATTGAGATTGATTAGGGAGGGAGGATATTGATCCTACTATTAATAGGCTTATATTGTATCTTACATAAGCTGTCATTCATTATCCACAGAGAAGTATCTAGATCAGGGGTGGCCAAAACGTGGCGCATTGGATGATTACAAGTGGCGCTTCAGTTAGTTCTGAGCAAAATTGCCAGATTTGGCTTTTTTGCGATTAAGAATATTATATAAAAAAATTAATTTTTTATAGTCTGTCATGGCAAGTTCATTTGTTGCACAATTTGTTACAGTCTATTTTGAAGATAAAATGAGTGTTCTCCACATAGTAAATTACGGTGAATGCACATATTTTGAGTCTTGCTATCTTTATTTCCGATCAGTTTACAGGCATTTAAATGGACGAAAATCATTTATTGTGATTAAAATTATTCCAAGCTGATCTTGTTCTCAGTGCCAATAATTGTGGTGCAGAGTAATCTTCACCAAATGAGACTCTGGCAGCAATAGCACCATCATGAAGCAATAGCCCTCTCATACAGGAGATTATTGTTGACTATTGTAAATTGGTGCTTCAATAAACTGTCATAAATTAATTAATTCAACTGCATAATAAAGTTATTCCCCTTTCTTTCCTAAGCGAAGCAGATTTATTCTTATCTCTATTTATCAACCCCTAACATTGAACGTAAGATTGTATAAAAAGTGTTTGAGTTATATGGCACATCTGAATTCGTCTGTCAAAAAATTGGCGCATGGTATGCAAAAGGTTGGCCATCCCTGCCTTAGAGTCATCTGTGATTGTTATGATAAGTTTAGGTTTCAGGCATATTAATAGCCAATGAAAAATTAAACATAAGTATAACAATTTGATGTATGAGAAAGGACTTCTATCATTTAAAACACACATTCCTTGTTGATTGATAATCAAGTCCTGTGTACTTCTATTTGACCAATTGAAGCAAACTTCTTGCTAAAGTCTCTTATCAATTTAATTAACTATATTTAAATAATTGATTAAATTCTCAATTTCATTCCAAATATAACTCCAAGATTCTGACCTTATACTAATAATATGGAATGAACATTTAAGTTTCAGCAAAAAGAAATGATTTTGTTTTATATTACAGAACTAGGACCAAAAGTATCCAATCTCCAATATAATGATTTCTAGTTCCTTCCCAAAAATCACAAAATTCATAGAATTTAAAGGTAGATCAATTTTTGTCTTCTCATTCCACAGTGTCTCAATAAAATATATCCTGAAACGAAGACAAAAATTACCAAAAGGGCAGAGGCCAGCTTGTTTAATACATCCCCAAAATTCTAAGTCAAAACATAAAAACCTTAACAAAGTCATATTGTCCTTTGTTCTATTATTCTTCTTGTGTCGATTCCGGCCATCTTTGGACCACGTACAAACAACTAATTATGACTTGCTTCTATTATTGTTTTATTAATAAAAACATAATCAAACATTTTATTATCTACTATAATAGAATTATCTTCATGTAAAAATATAACTTTTGTACTTTTTGTTTTCTAATATTTTGCAAATGATTTAAACTCTATTGTAGATCATCCAAAATAAAATGCCTATACCTTTAAGTTTAGATACTGTACTCTCTACACTCCACTTGTCTCTATAATCAATAAAAAGCACAACAAATTATTCTGTTTCTATTTGACAGATGATAGTCAATTCTACAACATTTCTCTATATTAACATTGATTACATTAAAATTATTAGAAAAAAATATTCAAAACATTTAGTTACATAAGTTTATCATCATCATCTTCCAATTCAGACATACCAGAAATAAGTACACTTTTTCTCTGAACAAGCATTCAAATTGGTTAGAGTCTGTTAAATGGTATTTTGAACATCTAAGGAAGAAACATTATTAGCATCTACTTGTGTTGTTAAATATCGCCCTCAAATTCTTTAATTTGGATTCCAATCAAGAAATTCTCTCTCTAGATTCTCTGCCCAAGAATAAATGTTATCAGCTTTTGAAATCATTGCATCTAATCTGATGTTCTATTTTGGATTTAGTGTAATCAGAAGCAAAATTCTTTCACTAATATCAAAATATTCCTGTAATAATTTACAATTTTTTCCTTATCTGGATCTTCTGATTGAAATAACTTACTTGCATTGTTTTTCAAAAGGAAGATGTAGATGAGGACAACCAGCAGGGGAATCTCTGCTAGTTGTTCTGTTCCATATCTCCATCTTCCTTTTAGAAACATCTTATTTTAGATGAGTGGTGTCAAGATTTAGTAAATCTTGATATCACCCATCTATACTAATATAGATGGGTGATATCAAGATATTATAAAGAGGTAATGTTTGTAAGTTTGGATGTAGCGGGTAATCTCCGAAACTACTCATCTGATTTCAAAAATTCTTTCACACATATTTAGAATGGAATCTCAGGGTGGACATAGGCTGTATATTATTCCGTTAAACATTCATATAAATTAAAATATATAATCTAGGTTAAGGCTTTTATGTCCAACAGATGGCGCTATGAGTACAACGACCTAAGTTTGCTTTTCTGTGAGGCATTATGTTTTTCTGTGAAAATGAACTAAAGCAGATCATCTTCTATCTATCTATATAAATAAAAATGTAATGTTCGTTTGTTCCTATCGATTCCTTTGAAATTTTGACAACGCTGCATTCGAATACGCACATTTTTATATAATATACATGTCGAAATCCCCCGGGGAGATGGACAGGATTAAGGCTTACCGTAAAGAACTCTGCTTCTATTTATACTGTTTTAGGTGCGGTTTTTTGCATTTTTTATTGCGTTTTAATAGAGTATGTCAACAGAATATACACTACAAAGGGATTTTTCGATATTCCCCCNCGAAATCCCCCGGGGAGATGGACAGGATTAAGGCTTACCGTAAAGAACTCTGCTTCTATTTATACTGTTTTAGGTGCGGTTTTTTGCATTTTTTATTGCGTTTTAATAGAGTATGTCAACAGAATATACACTACAAAGGGATTTTTCGATATTCCCCCCGTGGGGGAGAGGGACAGGATTAAAGCTTACCGTGAAGAACTTGGCTTCTATTATACTATTTCAGATGTGGTTTTTTGCGTTTTAATAGGGTACGTCAAGAAAATGTACACTAAGGGATTTTTCGAAAAATTTCCCCCCACGGGGGAAGTGTTATACATTTATAATAGATACATTTTGAGCCACAACAACGCGTAGTGGGGTCTGCTAGTCTAAAATAAAAAAGCAAAAGAATTTTTAAAATCCAATTTTTAATTATGAGGTTTCCAACATAATTCATTGCCCAATATTAACTAGGCAGAGTACAATGTGTATAAATTTAAATTCAAGTCCTTATTGTGAAATTTTCCTTAGTTGAGAGAATTTGTTCAATGAATTATATATTTATTTTTTCATTGTTTATTCTTTCTTTAGGCAATATTATAATAATAGTATTTTTGATATAATACTGAAACAGCTATAATCGAAAATAAAAATAGTTTGTCTTAAATTTAATATAATACTTATATCTTTTATTTACTACAATATAATTTTTACGATTTAGATAATTATTGGAAATTCAGGATTGAATTATGAGCAAGCAAAAGTTCAGATGGCAATGTGGGCAATATTAGCAGCTCCATTATTAATGTCAAATGATCTGAGAAAAATTCCCTCTAATTTTAGAGAAATTTTACTTAATAAAGAAGTTATAGCAGTTAATCAAGATAAATTAGGAATTCAAGGAAAAAGAATTTATATGGTAAGGGAAATACATTTTTTTTTTTTAAATTACAATAATGTTAAATAATGTAATCAAGCTTATTAATCATTGCCAGGAGAAGAAAGTAGAAATATGGACTCGTCCAATTAATCCAGTTAGAAGTGAATTTTATTCTTATGCAATTGCTTTTTTAAACATCAATAGTGAATCTGTGGAATTATCTATTACTTTTAAAGAAGTGGGATTAACATTTTACAATGGATATCATGTAAAAGATCTTTTTGATGGAAAAGATTATGGTTTTATACAACCTCATGACAATTTTAAAATTTCAATAAAACCTACAGCTATTGTTATGGTAAGAGCAATTGTTATTTCAGATAATTTTAATTACTTATAATGTATTAAAAATGTTTAAAGTAATTTAAACAAACTTATTTAACATCTACAATTGTTATAGTATACATATGGCAGTTTAAAAAAATAATCTAAATCAACTTGTCATTTGATGCAGCTTTAAAACTGAGCTTATATAAAACAAATATATACATTTATTTTTTATTAGCATGAGTAATAAGTAATTAATAAGTACAAATGTCTTTCATAAAAATATTGATCATTTATAAATGAAATGCTGTAAGAAATAGATGTTTATATTTAGTAATGTGAAGAATTAAGGTTGTTTATTGTTAAAATACACTAACTGTTAAAATACTAAATTTATTTGTGATAGAATAATATATTAAACATTCCAAGAATAATGTATTTTTCTTTCTATTAATAATATTTTTAATGTTAAAAAGATTAATATGAAATATTTTTATACAACTATAAAATTTATATTTTTAGCAATATGTTATCTTGTGAATTTTAAATGAAAAAAGAAATAAAATTTGTAAGAAAAATTCTATTTTTATTTTCTTGTACAAAATACAATATCCCATAAGTAAAGTTATTTACTTTCTTAGAATAGTTATATCAGATCATACGCTGCTTATGTACAATACTTGTTTAATATTAACTGTCGAGATCAAAAATGTTTTGATACAGTAAATTATATGTATTAACTTTCAAAATTTGAAAGAATACAATGTACCAAATTAGAATAGTAAGCTCAATTTAAAATAAATCAATAGGCTCGTTACAATTTTTCTAGCCAGATTAGTCCTTTTTTCTTTTAAATTTTTATTTAAATTCTACACTTTTGAACTAGACAGTCAATATATGTCACTTAACTGTACTTAAACAATAAAACATTCAAATAGAAGGATCCATTTTGTATAATTAAATACATCTTCAACATGATGTCTACAAGTTTGATTAGTAGAAATCAATGATATCAAAATGTTTTATCACATTTTTTATCATTACTTGGATAAATGGCAATTCAATTTTACTATAAACATTTATAAAAATGTACAGAATATTTAAACCTGGTCACGTTATTAAAATAACATTGTCATAAATCTTTCGATACAGTATATCCTTCGAGTCAATACATAACTATAAAAGTTTCAAAGTTATCATTTTTACAGATACTGTTTAACTGTCTGAGGTATTTATTCTAGTATGACATAAGAATTAATATTCAAGAGCAAAAATTACATAAATTGGAATGTATTNAGAGCTTATAAAAGCATATATCCCTATACACTATTTATTCTCCAGTAATAAACTCTGTCTTAATACATATGGAGTTGATTTCCAAATGGAAGTACTTGTTTAACCAAAAGAATTAATTCTCACGTCTTTTACATTATTACTTTTCTTAATAATCAAACATTTCTCATACCTGATTGTTAGAAAATTAACAAAATAATAATAATTTGTTTAATGTTCAAAAGAAAAATACTATTATGGTGGTAATTGAAAATTTTTACTATCTTTTTAATAAAAGTATCAAATTAAGCATGATATCCCTTGCTTAAATGCCAGTCTGTTACAGAATTTCTATTATAATTACCATGCCAGCCAAAAATTATAAGATTACTTTCATAGAACCTATTCAAATTTCAGAAAACAAACAGCAAGTTATTTAATAACTAATTTAAATAGAAATATAACCATTTCTTTAGCAATTAAAATTTTACAAATTGTATAAACATTCATTATACATCATAAATATTTAGAAAACAACATACACTGTACATAAAATGAAATTGTCTAGTTTTCAGATACAATCTTTTCTATTTCTTGCTTTGTGTTATTTTTAATTGATTCTTGATTTTTATTGATTACTTTCAATAAGCTAACAATAAATAATATGTGATTTTGAAACTGCCTCCCACAATTTATTAATAAAGCAATGATTTTCATCAAGTATTAATGAAAACAAGAAAATATAATTCAAAACATTAAATAACAAACATGTTATAATTGACAAACATATTAGTATGTACAAAAAGAAAATTTGACGATAATAAATAACAAATACAACAATACTACAAATCAATTTAAAACTACTATAAAAAATATTAAATAAATGTATAAAAAAATTTTTAATATGAATTATTCCATTTAATTTTTAGGATCTATTGAAATTCTGGAATAGCATCTATATACAATAAATATAAAGTAAAGAAAAAGCCTGTTTAAAAATGCAAAATTATAATTAAAAAATCACCGAACTTGTATTGAAAAAATGTTTATGGCCAAAAGCAAATTTTAAATATTCAAAATATTACAAATTTGTATTTTGTGGAATGATTATAAAAATGTTCAATGAAGGAATAAATTTTTAAAGCTTACTCTGCTATTAAAGATATCATTTACAAAGCAGATTATTAATAGGATGGCAAAAAACTAATAATTTTCTTTAACATCAAAATATTACAATAAAACGATTTTATTTGATATAACATATATTTTTTATGTTTAAATCATATAACTTTTTAGAAAAATCTCTGAGAATAATGGTAATAATATTTTGATTATTAATGTTTTGAATAATAAAAGTGTCAAGTATATAATCATTTATTCAAATGAAACATGAAAATTAAATGAATAAAACATTTTTTATTCATTTAATATTTTTGCTTTTCTTCCACTTTGGAAAGAAAAAAAAAAAAAAAAGATTTGATTAAATATATTGTGTTGATGATTAGTTGATGTTAATAAAATTTCTGGCTTTTCCCTTCAAATCATTTTTTTCCCAGATAATTTAAAATATTGAGCAAAGTAAATAATAGTTAATATTTAGGAATGTTAATGTGTAAAGAGGCAAATTTTACATATTCAGTTTTAATGTAATAACATAAATAAAAAAATCAGTTTGAGTTTTAGTAAACATTTTCTAACAATTTTAATTTAATTGTTTAATTTTAAAAAATAAATATAATTTTAAGCATGGATTAATGTCTTTGATTGGATCACGAGATTATATATAAGGAATCGAATAAGAATGTATTTGTTAAACATTAAAAAAATTTTTTATAATTACAAAATAAATATTTTAGAAAAACATAAGTATTAATACATAAAGCTTGACATCAATAAATTACGTAATTTTTTAAATTGATTAATTTGATGATTATAATTATGATTAATATGTAAACAAAATGGCTTGATTATTTTATTTTAATTAAAGACAAATTAAAAAGATCACAATAATAATAAGATCACAATAATTGCATAAGCATAAAACAGTGTTTCAGACTTCTAATCATGTAATAAACAAAAAAATCAATTTTTAATATAGTTATTTCAAATGTAAACTAAAAAAACAAAAATGATTGATTGCAAACAATTTAAGTTAGGTTACACTAAAAATCATAATAAGAAAGAATTAAAACTGAAGGATTATTATTTCAATTCACATATTCAATGCCAACAAAACAGATACTATGAGAAACTTTTATGCAAGATCAATGATTTGTATGTGCATCATAGCCTATTATTTCACATAGATTAACAAAATTAATTTCAATTAAAAAATTTAAATTTTTATATGTTAAGACATTTCAAATCTGAAAATCTTTTATTTTGTTTCAGAGTGAAATTATATTTAAAGGACATATTCAATATGTATAGAATAACGATTTGGGCATGTTACTCTCAGTTGTGATTACATAGACATTATGTCTTCTGATTAAATAAGTATTTTCTTATCATGGAAAGCAATTTGTCTTCAATATTAAAGATAGTGAGAGCTTATAAAAGCATATATCCCTATACACTATTTATTCTCCAGTAATAAACTCTGTCTTAATACATATGGAGTTGATTTCCAAATGGAAGTACTTGTTTAACCAAAAGAATTAATTCTCACGTCTTTTACATTATTACTTTTCTTAATAATCAAACATTTCTCATACCTGATTGTTAGAAAATTAACAAAATAATAATAATTTGTTTAATGTTCAAAAGAAAAATACTATTATGGTGGTAATTGAAAATTTTTACTATCTTTTTAATAAAAGTATCAAATTAAGCATGATATCTCTTGCTTAAATGCCAGTCTGTTACAGAATTTCTATTATAATTACCATGCCAGCCAAAAATTATAAGATTACTTTAATTCAAACAGTTTTACAAAATAAGAATTCTAATAATAATAATAAATAATATTGACTTCTTTAAAAGGTTAATTCACCCTTATCATTATATAAATAAAAATGGACAACTTTGTTTTAACAAATTCAATTTAGACTCAAATATAAGAAGTGAAGCTGTTTTATTGTAGCGAGAACCATTTTTGAATCTTAATTGACTCGCAACCATTCTGAATAATGAATATATCACAGTCAAACAACTTGAATAAATTAAGTAAGAATCTTCAAGATTATAAGCTCATAATTAATAAAGTTTTTGAATGTAATTTCTATAAACTATTTAAATTTGTGCCTTTATTTAGGACAGCTGAAGTCAGATTGGAAGATTCAAAATGTTCTTTGTTATAATATAATAGCTTTAATTTAGACATTTAAATACCAGAATCAATCTTAATCCTAATCTTTCAATTAGATAAATTTTTTTAGTTACTATTAATTAGTTACAAATGGAAATTAAAGTAACAATTACTTTAATGTTTTAATTACTGTTTCTCATTCTATCAATTTTCATTATTATTTCTCCTATTTCTCAAGACATCTGCTGTTTTTATTTTTAGAAATATTCCCTATAAGAAAGTATAAAAATGAACTTAAAGTCTTCATTGTTTTGTAGAAAAATAGAGAGAGAGACCAAATTGTTAGCAATTTTGTTAATTTAGTGATATAATACCATAAAATTTCATTATTTTAGTTGTCCCTAAGACTTTAAGTCTTGCTTTTAGTAATTAATTATTCATGCTTCCTTATTGAAATATCTTTAATATTTACTGTCTTGTTTCCTATAAGATGACAATATACTTATATTTTACATGTTTATTACATTAATCTTTCCAGTATCTATCTAATAAATAGATACATAGTTAATTTAATTTAATTTTTAGTTTTGTATTTCATGCTGGAAAAACCTTAATCTCATTTTACATAATATTGAAAATATTTATCAATATTTTATATTTTCTACACATGGTAATGAAATTTTTAAAATTAGATTT